GTTCAAAAAATGTAAACCAATATTTCATTGTCGACCAAAACCATTCTGCTCTTGGTGTCATTGACAGTTGTATAAAAATCTTAGAGACTTAAACCAACACAAGGTGGTGAAGCAAATGAAATGTCATATGACGACAAATATAGACATTTCTCTCATGGCAAAGATGAGACAAGTTTTAAATATTTACAATAACCGTAAACAAAAAGGTTGGGAAACCACTCCCCCGAAGAAATGAAAAACAACCCTGACTTAGAGAAAGACTATATATTTAATAGTTTAGTCAAAAGAGACAAACAAGAAAGAATGCAGGCTTCAAACTTAAGAAAGGTGACAAAGTAAAAATAGAAATACCTAAACGCGACCCATATGAAAATACTATTGACTATGACAACAATGGGAACCCGACAGGTACTCACCTTCGTGTTCGTAAAAATAGAAGAAAGTATACAAGAGAATATTATGAAGTTTTAGGCAAACATGGCAAAATGTACAGACTGCAAGCAGAAGATAAAACTACTATTGTCAGACCTCGTTTCAAACTTGTCAAAGTTCAAGGTGGTATACTTTCAAAGACAGTTCCTAACAAATATAAGACAACTCCTGACGAATATGCTAAAGAAGTTGAAAATGACGACTAAGCAATTCTATACCATGCGTAAACTGTCATGTAAGGTGGCATGTAGTCTTTACTTTGTCCCGTTGTTTGCGTATACCCTGAAACGCGATGTGAATGGATTCCTCCTACATCAGTGTTACTCCAGTAACAATTTATAGCAAACTTAACGTCCTCTTTAACATCATATCCTTTACCTTTTGTCATTCCTGACCAATCCCAAAATCTATGACTATGCAAACCTGCTTCAGATGTACTTAAATTTATGTAGTGACTGTGTGCAGGTAAATTTTCACCTGAAATCGTTTTACTTCCACCTGTTTCCTTTGAAGAGTTTGCACAATACAAAAACCTGTCGACTATTTGAGTCCAAGTTCCAAAACCCAGAACTGTTTCTGGATTTGTTGAGTTCATTGACGTATAAATAGAGCCTATAGGATATACTGTTTGAAGTATTTCTGTCTTTAACGTTTGAAGCTCTGTTTTGTCAGCTTTCTTATCTAACTCATCGTTAACATATGTTTTTTCAGCTTTTTTATCTAACTCATCGTTAACATATGTTTTGTCAGCTTTTTTATCATATAAATTTGAGCAGTGAATTTAACTTTGTTTTCATCCTCCATGACATAGACATTTCTACATCTAATGTATCTCATCGTTGTTATGCTTCTTCCGATGTTAAACCTTGTGGAAAGTTAGGAGGTTTCCAATTTAATACATCCCCACCAGTTTCTTCAACCGTTCCTTCAATATTTTCTATACCAACAGTTGCGAAGAAATCGTGTGTATGTCCAACGTCACTTTTCCTGTTTAAGGTTTCTTGTAAGTTTGTAATATCAGATATGGTATGTGTATGAGTCTTTTTAGAATATTCTTTGTCAGCTCTTGTCACTTCACTTGACATTTTATTGTCAACATATGTTTTATCTGCTTTGTCATCTAACATTGCTGGTAGTTCATCTACGTCATAGATGTTATGTGTGATGTTTTTGTGGGTATGTTTCTATCTGTCCATGCGAGAATATAGTCTCTTGTTGCATCTACATACTCTTTGTCAGCTTTGTTGTCAATATCTGCTTCAAAAGAAGTTCATCTATAGGTTTCTCGTTTAAAGTTCTTTTTGTTGGATTTATACAAACAGTATGGTTCTTACTGTCTGAAACAGAAACTCGTCTGTCAATGGGTTTATCGTCAGTTTTAAGTTTCCTTCTTTCAATGACTCAGATATCTTAAATAGTTTTGAAAAGTTTGTTGTGTTCTTATTTAGAGCTTGCACAATGAGTTGTCGGTTGTGTTTGTATTTCTTCTCATAGACGCTGTTTCTTTCGACATTTTTATTCTAGATAAAATATGCTTTCAATAGAAAAAGAAAATTCAAGAGTTGCTACAACTAAACCATTAGATGAACTTTTTAATAATGTCGGTCAAAAGTTTGAGACAGAGACCGTAAAGCATGAAGGCTATCGTTTTGACTACCCACTTAGATGGTTAAGAGACCCATCCGTCACAAAAGCTATTGGCTTTCGTAGAATGAAGTTCATTTCAGAAGCCATACATGGTTTCCATTTACGGTCGCTTTTGAAGTTCGATACTATAACAAAGAAAACGTAACGTATGAGAAATTTGAACAGGGAAAACTTTTACAAGTGAATTTGCTTGTAAACTTAGAAACAACTCTTCAAGCTTTTTCAAGAAAAAATAAACGATATCTATATCGAATATGCAAACCAGTTTTAACATTGACGAAGGAGAGTACCATCTCGATATTTTATATGACAAAAGGAAAATGCAACTGTTAAAATCAATAGAATAGAAGACCTTGGAGAAGACGTTTATATTTCTACAAAATATAACAACTTGGCATGGTATAGATTTTTGAGGATGTTAAATCAGCCTGCAGAATATCCAGTACACCCGAACTTTTATGAAGTCGAAAACCCTAATGGAACATATGAAAATGTTTTCGACCAAGATGCTATTATAGTTCATGCTTCATTTTCTGGTGCACAAAACTCTTTTTTATGCTTGGCAAATGACTTTTACGAAAAACCTACAAAGCTATATGAACCGCCGAGTGGAAGTATTTCAGACTTTCAAGTATGGTTTACTACAGATGGAAGAAAGAGAATAATTCCATTATACCATGCGTTTTACTTAGAACTTAGTCTCATATACAACTACTATCGAACGGTAAAAATATAATTTTAATACGGTTGAGGTGTTGGATTTGGTTGCCAACTTGACTGTGGTGCAGGTTCAGGCTGTTGTATAACAGGAGCTTGTTCTTCTGGTTCAGGGTCTTTAGGTATAATACCAACGAACTGACCTACTCTTTTACCAATTTTTTGACTCCGTTCCAAATTCCTCTTCCTACGGTTTTTATTCCATTCCATATACCTCTTCCAACATTTCGAAAGAAGTTTCCTATCTTACTGAAGAAACCCATTTTACTATATGTAAAAATCTAATGTCCGCCTAGTCTCTTACGTTTCCTTCTGAGTTCCATAGCATTCTTTAACTGGAGCTCATACATTCTATTTCTCCTCTGGTAGAAAACATATTCTGGGTCAACTCCTGTGTTCGCGTCATCTGCATAAAGTTGTTTATATCCCACTTCAGGGTTTGTATAAAACTCTTTCCATCTCATATTTGCATACCATGGTGGTAAGCCTAACGCAGCGTCATTTGACATGGCAGTTTGCATTTGTACATCTGTTGGCACTTGACCATAGTTTGCCATTGCAGTTTGTATTCTAACTTCATTTGGAATATTCTCTGGGTTTGGTTGTCCAGGTTGCTGTGCATTCGCTAAGTTCTGTGCGTCCATTTTAATATTAGATAAAAATATCTCTTACGAGTACATATGCTGAACATTTGCTGGTATTGGTTCATCTTCATATTCTCTATATCTTTCTGCCACGTCAAATAAGTAAATGACACAATGGAAAAAACCTAAAACAAGTAGTCCTATTTCAAACCACATTTACTTACCAATAAAATTTCTTTGTTATGACACTTTCTCCGGTTTATAGGACCTCTCTCATATTCTATCTTATCGTATCTAAACTCATAGTCATGTATGTCCTCTAACCATCTCATGACACTTTCCAAACCACTTTTATCGGATGTAAAGTAAAAGCATGGATGGTTATGTAAAACGTCTAAAGTTTCTAAAGAGTCTCTCAAAGTCCAGTCTACTTGGTATTGAAAATCCCATGTGTTATAGAACGGCGGGTCCACTATAAAGAAAACATTTTCCTTGTCTTTATATTTTTCATACAACTCTGTCCAATGACATCTCACAAACTCTATACCCTCAATATATTTTTCTATGTCCTCTTTGAAAACATTTGTATAGTTAAGATATAAAACTTTTGACATAAGTGTTTCAATGTCATGAACTCTTATAGCACCACTATATAATAGTCTAGCAGATATACTATCCCAGTCAATATACTCTGCCTTTTTCAAAACCTCTCTGACAGTATTTTTCTTATCTAATGGTATACGTTCCATCTTACCTATAGGTATCTTTTCTTTTAACTCTTTCAATATTTTGTTTGTGTCTGGTATATGTTTGAGACGGTTCATATAGTTGTCGAAGTCATTGCATATAATCTTTGAGTCAGGAAATATTGTATGGCACAAATGGGATATATAGAAACTTCCACCGAACAAATCTACAAATGTTAGACCATTCGGTAGTTTCTTAAGTTCTCTCAATAGAATATCTTTACATCTACTCTTATTTCCAAAGAACGGTAACGGTGGTTTTGTAAAATTCATTTATATATAATAATAAAAATGTTTTTACCCGAAAAGTGACAGAAAAGTGACAAAACATCTTCGGGGCTAGAGGGCACGAAGTGCCTGGAAGCCCCAATACCTTTTTTTTTTTTTTTTTTTTTTTTTTTTTTTTTTTTTTCAAAGATGCTTTTTTAATGTTACATATTTTTATGGATCAGGAAATCTAACGGGCTCCCGTTCAATTTTTGAAAGGTTTGTTTGATTTTGATATGTGAACGATATATACCGAGTGGACTCGGAAAATGATCGTCACTTTTCCATGAACCTCACATTATCCCTCGATAAAATTCGAAAATGGGCAGTGTATAGACATATTATATACATCTCACCCTTCAATTCCAGAGGAAATAGGAGCCAACAAAGCACTGATTATGTATCAGTGTCTGGTAGGCTCCTCCACTTTTCTTTTCTGCACGTAATTTTCTTAATTTTGAATTTCTAATAAAATGACAATAACATTTAGAGGTATTAACAATTGAATTTGACGATTAATAAGAAATATTTATCAAAAAACAATGAAAGTTTCATATACAAAAGCATATTTGTTCATTGAGAATAAATGAATAAAAAAGTGACAAAGATGGATGATTTATATGCGTTTTTAAATAATTTGGCGATAGAGAATGGAATCAAGTTTATCTTTATTGAAAAAATAGATAAATTTGGGAAAAAGCAGAAGCTTATTCCATGCGTTCTTGCATTGGCTGAAAGTTCATTATATATCGCCTCAAAAAATGTGTTTAATAAATGTAAAATAACACACATGTATTCCCTTCTCGATCTTAAGCTTGTTGGATATATCCAAATTTCTATTGCTAACTTAGATTTCGGAGATCAACAATTAAAATTTACATCAAGTAATACTAAGAACTTAGTTACTCAAATAGTTTCTCAAGCTCATAGACTTCTAACCGAAGAAGAGTTTTCAGCTATATCTCTTCCAAACGAATTTCCAAATTTACCAGATTCAACACCTCAATCATTTCTATGGCGTCTGCAGCTACAGCTCAGCCAATTAAAGGAACCTCTTGACATTTCAAGTATTGGAAATATACAAACAGACGTTTTTTACCAAAATGATTCTTTTAAATTCAACGACTTACCAATGGAAGAAGAAATCTTTCCTATCTTCTTTAATTCACTTTGTTTGAACTCAGGATTCAAGCATTTAGTATTTAATCCCATTACAAAATTCGATATTTTTGAAATTTTATCTAAATATTTTAATTTTTCCAGCAAGATCGAAAAACTTACATTCAAGCATGGGCCGACCCAATTCTTCCCTAATTTCATCGAAAGATTCACTCAAATACAAAATTCGAACTTATGTTCCTTATCTTTCGTAAAAGCAGAGATATCGGACGTAGAATTGATCGTATTATTTTCAGTTGTTATGAAAAACAAAATTACAAGTTTGACATTTGCGAAATCAATTTCAAATAAACAGCTTCTCAACATAACTTCTCATGAATGCTTCTTCAATTTACGATCATTGACATTACAAGGAATACAAGACCTCGATATTGAGGCTTTTGCTCCATTTTCTTTAGATATTCACTCATTAAGTATCATTGATTGCGGAGAAACAACAATTGGAGGTGTTATAAACGCAATTACGAAGTATCCATCTCATAATATACACTATTTATGCGTACATTCCAAATCTTGTGGCCAAATAATTTCGAAATTACCACAAAAACTTTTACACGTCGTTGCAGACGATATAGAATGGGGAAGCAACGAATTTGCAAGGTTTATGACACTTTGCGCGTCACATCCCAACAGAATTACCGTTTCAGTTGCAAATACCAAAATTATTAACAACGAAATTGAGAAAAGCATCACTAGTTTCACTCAAGAAGCAACCGCATCCAATATTTCAGCACTTGTATGGGATGGAAACATGACAAATTCCAATTTAATTGTATTTCTTAAAAAATGTCAATTAAAATACGTCAGTATGTGCGGATGTCCCAGTAAAATACCCATAGGAGACCTTTGCATGCTGTTAGACAACAATAATTCCATAGAAACTCTCAAAGTTGAAGGTACAAAAGAAAATTCTTTGGATGATATCACTCCTATATGCGATATGTTGCCATTATTACCATCCCTTAAGGAGTTTGATATCGCGTACCAGAAGATTTCGAACGCAGAAATTAAATATATGGGAGAAAAACTGTCACAATGTAAAATGATCGAAAAAATTGCTTTCCAAGGGACAAACGCTACATCATTATCACCTTTTAATGAATGCGCAGCAACTCTTGTACAGAATGGTCGTCATGTTTCGATTGTTTGGCCTTATGAAGATATAATGAGACTCACGAATGAAGGAAAGATGACTCCTGAAGAGGAAACTGAGTTATTAACAAGATACCAGTATACTGCTCGTACCGATGATAGCAATAATCCCTTTGATAAGCCATTTTCTGTTTTTTGTGGCCGATTTTCCATTGAATTTCCCCGAGTTTTGACTCAAAAGAAATTAGAGGGAGATAACCATACAGAAGCATACGAAGTAATTGAAGAAACAGTAACTGAGACACAGAGCCACTACGGAAGTGTCCATCCGATTCAAATTGCTTCAAGAAGAGCTAAAAAAGAAAATCAATCAAATCTTCGAAGCAAAAGTAAACAAAAGAACCAAATGGAAGTCAAGAATTGGAATTTCAATGATGATAGTGGCGAAGATGAAGAGAATCCTGTTAAAAGTTCAAATCTTCATTCGATGAAACAGTGGAACTTCGATGATCCAACGGAAGAGAACGAAGAAGAGGAAGAGGAAGAAGAACAGAAGCCAACGATTAAGTCTAGAAAGGTCACCGAGTCTCCAAAAGAACAAGAAACTGTGAATTCAAGAAGATCTGTAAGAAAGAATAAGAAACTCGGAGAAATGGATTGGGAATTTAATTCAATTGCTAATGCAGCTGCAAAGAAACAAGAAATCCAACCTTTGCCGGTGAAATCTGAAAAATCAAAATCTAAAAATTTAGAAAATGATGAAGAAAAAGTGTCAAAGAGGGCAAAAAAGCAAATTCCTGCAGAACCAGAAGAAAAACCAAAGAAGAAAAAGAAAGTTGTCGAAGAAAATCTTGAAATTCAAGAAGAAAAAACTAAAAAGAAAGGAAAGAAGGTTAAAACAGAAGAAATCGAAGAAGTTAAGCCTACAAAGAAAGGAAGGAAATCTGTTCAGGAAGATTTAGAAGAAGAAAAGCCGAAAAAGAAGAAATCAAAGCAAATCGAAAACGAAATTGAAGAAAAACCGAAGAGAAAAGGTCGCAAAGCTCAAAACAACGAACCAGATGATGAAAAACCAAAAGAAAAACGAAGTAAAGCTTCAAAAGAAAATCAAGTTGAAGAAAAGCCCAAAAAGAAGGGAAAGAAACATGATACTAATGACTCAGATAAAGAAATTAATACAAAGAGGAAAGGAAAGAAAGTTGTCGAAGAAATTCCAGAAAAAACAAAGAAATTAAGAAAAACAAAGAGCCAAGAAGAAACTTCATCGACAGATATCGAGCACCAGAAAGAACAGTCATTTGTTATTGATGCTGGTAACAGAATTGAAGGAACTCCAGTTAATTTTGAATTTAATCCACATCCAAAGGTAGAACAAACACCGGCAATCAATAATTCGGCATTTATCAGGAAGAACAATGTTGATTACTCACTCAATTCACTTATAAGAAGTATGACTTTGTAAATTTATAATAAAAATTTTGTTTGTAATTTAAAATAATGAAAAGAATATTTATCTGATAATAGTCTGAACTAGAAAAAGATTCATAATCTTAATCCAAATCAGCAACCAGTTTCTGCACTTAGCCTGTTTCTTCAATAAAGTAAATGTGTTATCATGTTAATATAGTAAAAATTAATGAGTTAGTATTCTCATGTATACGTGAAGTCTTCTGAATCGTCAATCTGCGATTTAGCTGTCCAGGACACTGCGAATATAAAATGAAGATTTTACTTTTTTAATTTGGAGTGAATTTTTGTTATGATTTATCGTATGTTAATATAGTTACATTTCATTGTATGTGAATTATTTTCTGATTTAATCAGCTTTCAATAAAAAATTATCCAACTTCTAAAATTTTACGGGCATTCAATTTGACGAAGTAACACCTTTTCATATATGCTTTACAAATATTAAGTCCAAATTTGGACGTTAATTTTGATTGATTATAAATTGAAAGCGTGATCATAAAATCAGTAACGATTAATTGCTATTCTTATAATACTGCTGATGGATGACATTTCTGATTTTACTTTTGAGAGAATACCATTCAAATGTGTATAAATTTTCAATCATTCAAAGAATTATCGCAGAGAACTAGTTTGCATACACACTAATTTCCTTTTAAAAAATTGAAACTTATTTTTATATTTTATGAAGATTTTGGGGCGGTTTAATAGAAACAAAAAGTTTATTCGTTCACGTTTATTTTAATCATATTTGTATTTCTTTTAATGTCATTATAAACTTTCTTGATGCTTCAAATGAATTTGATTTTTGACTGAAACGATTAAATTTTGATTATAAAAATTTTTTTTTCATTGTTCAAAAAAAATTAGACCATGACATCTCGTATGACTTTGCACATAGACCATAGCCAAGGGCAATTACTTCGCTCTAAAATCTTTGGTCATGATGGTGTTATTATCCCATTCAGGGAAGGATACATTGCGAAGAAATGCAAATTAATTCGTGAGTTGAAATTTTATAAAACATATGTAGGCAGTTTGCATAATATCTTAGAGCCCGAACTCATCCCTTCTGTTGAAGGCATTGTTGACGACAACAACGTTCACTTATCTAGTTCAGATGACGAAGTTGATCTTGAAGTCAAGCGCGACATTGAAATCAATCACAAATCAGAACCATACCTTATGATGCATGACATTGCAGATGGTTATTCACGCCCAGCTGTTCTAGACGTGAAACTTGGAACTAGAACTTGGGCGTTAGGTGCCTCTAAAATAAAGCGTGAGCGTATGAAGAAGAAATGCTCATGCCCTACATCATCGGAGCTTTGTGTACGTGTCCGTGCCGCTATGTGGTACTCTCGTACACCAGATAAGTGGCCTGTTGAAGAGAACATCAACTGTGTTAAACGCGAATGGGGTAATTCATGCTCTAAGTCGGAGTTTCTCGACTTCTTGAAAGATTTCTTCCACTACCCAAACCAAATTCCTATTTTTGTTGAAAAACTCAATAAGTTGAAGACATCTATGGCTAAAATGCGCGAACAGTTTGGTGCTCGCATGTACTCTAGCTCGATTGTCTTCGCGTATGATGAAGATGATCCATCCAAATTTGATTGTCGTTTACTTGACTTTGCGAAGACTTATTTAGACATCGACAAAGCGGCTAAAGAGTCAAATGAAAGTGTTGATGAGTGTGAAGACTCTGTTCTTCCAGCATTGAACAGTATAACTAGTATGATCGAATCTCTTGTTTAATTTTTTTATTTATATTTATATATAAAGTGTTTGTTATCATGTAATGAGGCGATATTCATATACATATATATTCATATATTTATATCTATACTATCGCCTAACTACATTTTCTTTTTTTTCATTTTTCATTTTAACAATAAAGAGAGTTTATAAAGAATCATCATTTTACCTTTTATTTTTAATTACTTTCTTTCTTGCTAAGTTATTAATTAAATTAATATTTTTTTTAATATCTGAACTTATTGAGCTGGATATCATGCATTTAACTAATGTTATGAAAACAGCTAGTAGAATATGACATTATATATCTCTTATAGCAAAAAAAGTGACTTTGCGAGGTAAGAAAGAACATAATTCTCACCATATCTGTGTGAAGGAGTAAGAAAGAACAGAATTCTCTATCCGTTTCATTTCATTAATTCTCTTTTGTTTATTTTAGTAAAAAAAGTTTTTCATTGGGTTCAAAAAGAATACTCATTTTTGACTACTTTATGCACAAATTGAATGCAAAATAATCGTCTCGCTTCTGACATTGGGTATGAAACTATCGAGAGTGTAATTGAAAGACTTAAATTGATTTTCATGGTTTATGTCTGCTTAACGAACACTCATACAAAAATTTGCAATACATCATAAACAATAATACATGGTTTTACTCATAACTTCATTAACTTGATTTTCTATCATTTTAATTATTATCTATATCTTAGTTTAGGCTTTCTAAGTTTGAAACATACCCCAACCATATAGAGAGTACTTTCGAGACATTCATTTAGAAACAAGAGTTACATTTATTCAACAAAATATATAAAGAATGTGTAAGATCGATAAAAAGCGTATGGAAATTAAAAATCACTGTTTGAGTACTTTCTGAGACTCTGTTTGTCAGAAATATATACATTTGAATACTTTCTGACACCTTTTTCAAAGTTTTTGACATTGTGAGGTTTTTGTGTCAAAAAGTAATCAATTTTCCTCTCAAATGATGATTTATTAAAAAGATCACTTTTTATCAACTTTTTTTTGTCAAGCGAGTAAAAATAGATTTTGTTTCAAATTATTGTGTTGGCGAAGGATAGCGGCTGAATTGATCGAAACATGATTTTCCTTGTTCGTAATCACCAAATTTTATTGAAAGACGTTTGTTTGCTTGGAAGAAACAAGATTGTGCTTCTTGATATTGAATAACATAATTTTCAGTGTAAATAGGAGAAGTTGAGAAAGAAACTGCACCAGAAACATCAAGAATGTCACAGTAACAATTATAAACTGCAACATTTCCGTTAGAGTTAGAAATTGAGAAATAAACGTGATTATCAAAGAAAGTTGACTCAAATATTTCTACAGTAGAATGATCAACACTTAAGAGTGCATCGTATGTCGTAATTTCGTTTGAAATAAACATAATTCTGTTGATTTGAAGAGGTTTATGAATATTTATTTCTAAACCTTTAAACATTGATGTAGAATTATATATCGTATTTGTTAATATCTTTAATGATGATGCAGATCTAATTGCTGGTCCAATTCCGCAATAAACATTATTTTGTGAAAAATTACAGCCTTCGAAGTATTGATCACCGAAATTCGTGTAAACTACATACGATACATCTGGTGTTGGATAATATGTTCCGAAAAAGTTATTAAGATTGTAAAATGAACCTTTTTTTTCGTTAACATTTGTTGATAAATATAAGCAATTGCAGCTACTTCGAGCGGTACAGTTCAAACAACAGACTTCTCGTAGTACTGCGAATTTCCTTGTGTTAATATAAATTGCTCCGGCTTGGCCATTCGAATTTGAGTCTGCACGGCATGAGGAATAACGACTATTTTCGATAATGATTTGTACGTTTCCTACTATATTTAAAGCTCCTCCGATATCTGATGTTAATTTTTGAAAATTACCGTTTCTAATGAATACTGAACCACTGACTGGGTTCAAATAATGCCTTTCATTCGATTCTATAGTAAGACATGTCTCTGGCGCTGAGGATGCAGTAGTAAGGAAAAGAGAAATCATAAATTTATTTGCAAAAAATAGTTTTATAGCTCGAGTGCATAATAATGTTCTAACTAATGATTTTAGTAAAAGTTTTTCATTTGATCTTGACTTATTTGGGCTTTTCGATATAATTTCAAATCGAATATCTTTTTTATTCAATGGGATCACCAAATAACGAAGTTGCTCATTGAAGCAAAGTAATGCAAGCAAGAATTGATGTTATTTTCTCCTTTTTTGAATGAAATATAATGTTTTGAAGAATTAAATTATGCTATTTTATATCCATTTGTTGGGGCTAATATAATTAAATACTTATTTTTGCATTAATCTAGTAAAATTAACTGTACGTTTAAAAAAATAAACTATTCAAATCCTGGATGAGTTTGCTTGACTCGTCATGGTTCACAGACAGACCAATTCATCCAGATAAGCAGCCCAAAAAGATTCCTATGACGGAATGGGAATACCAAGAAAAACACGGCCTTGATAGCCAAAAGGATATTGATAGTGATTTTTCTGATCCATCAACTTTCTCATTTTCAAGTGATCAATCGATGGACTCGGATGGGCCAGCACCACCAAAGAAGGAAAGACCGCCATTAAATACTTCAGACCCAGAAAAAATTGGAGAAGCACTAAAAACAGATTTAGATTTTATATCAACATCGCATAATTTAAGCACACAACGTAGAGAAGCTGCAGATAGAGAGATACAAGATACAATATCATCAGCAAAATATACATATTTTAACGATTTAGAAGCTGAAGCGCAATTTAGCGATCTGTCCTTTTCAGATGACTTCGAATCATCTTCAAAATCTAAAACAAATAAATACGGAATATCAGATGCACTCGAATCCGAACTTATGACCTGTGGAGTACAAAAAGTTGGAAAAGGAGATTCGTCATGCATCGTAAGAAAATCACAGTCAGCTAAAATCGATTCATCTAGCAAAAATTACGACTTTGATAATTCATCTTCGAAAATCTCAAAAATTTCGACACTGAAAACAACAGATAAATCAACAAAGACAGATAAAAATACAGATACTATATCAACAATGGCCGATATTTCATCATTCCATGATACAATGACATCAGATTTCAAATTAGAATCAACACAAGGAAAAACAAAAACAGATACAGATAAAATTAGCCCTAATAAAAGGAAATCGGTTACTATTACAGATACTCTTCAATCAACCTTAGAAAAAGCAAAAAGTAATAAAGAT